TGGAGAGTCTCACAGTCAAGATACCTGTCAGTCAGCCTCCATCCTTAACACAGTAGTACACACGCACAGACTTGTACCCACACACATGCCAACATGAAGATACATGCGTGCTACATATTCATGTAATAAAATTCATCACTATATTAATTATGCTATACAATAACACTATATATGTAAAAGTTATTATTACATGTATATGTGGCATGCATATATAATATTTTTTCTATAGTCCATATGACTAAATGAGGAATTTACAAATGCCAATGCATAGTGATAGATAGATAGATAAATAGATAGAGAGATGATAGATAGACAGATAGATACAAATATAGATAGATAGATGGTAGACAGTGTCTTAATTAATTTTCCATTGATCTGATTAATGGCCATAACCAAGGCAACTTATGAAAGAAAGCATTTACATGAGCTTACACTTTCAGAGGGTCAGAGTCTATTATGATGTAACACATGCATGGTGGCAGTAACATCTGAAAGTTTCATACTGATCCACACGTGCAAGGATGAGAGAACTAATTCAAAAGGAATGAGCCTTTTAAAACCTCCAAGCCCATTCCTTGTGACATATTTCCTTTAGCAAGAGCACACTTCCTAGTTTTCCCCAGACACCAACCCAGAGACTAAATATTCAAACATATGAGCCTATAGAGGCCATTCTATTTCAAACAACCACATTCCATTCCTTGGCCTGTACAGGCCTATGGCCATATCATAATGCAAGATGCATCTAGTCCAAGTTCAAATCTTCATAGTATTCAGCCTTAACAGTGTTTAAAACACAAAGTACAGAATTTCTTTTGGCACTCAAGGCAATTTCTGGTTTTCTGGTTTCTCCTTGTACATTCAAAAGCAAATTACATACTTCCAACAAACAAGGGCACATAATGTACATTATCATTTCAAAAGGAAGGAGTAGCGGCATAGTGAGACAATACTGTATGGAAGCAAGACAAAAACTCAAAAGCAAATACCAGATCTTGTACTTCCATGTCCATTATCAAAGGACTTAGAGCACTCTGTCCTTCAAGTTTTGCTGCCTAAAACAGTTCTCTCTTTTGGGATATTTCTATTTCTTGTACCCTGCTCTGTTTAGTAGATATCACATGACCCTGGTATCTCCAACTTCTTGGAGTCTCCAACACATCCTAGGTTTCACTCTCACAGCTCTTCTAATGGCCTCCAGGACCTTTTGCTCTCTCAGGGCTTTCATACACAATGCCTGATGTCAGAGGCTCCTAAACTATAAAGGAAGACTCGGTAACTAGTACATCCTTTATGACTATAAAGGCAGAACCACATAGAGGATGCTGCCAAATTGTTCTTCTGACTTGGGATGGAGCCTGGCCTCATGAGTCACATTTGTAAAAGATTTTCTTTGTTGTTCCTTTTAGGAGCAGACAATTTCTTAGGCCATTTTCTTTCACAAGCTGAAAGTTACCTGGGTGGGGTATTGTCATGAAGACATGTACCATCCCTTTATCCCATTTGGTATAGACTACTCTGTAATCTCATCAACAAAAGTCTAGGCTGCAACATTAAATCCATAGTTGTCTTTTTCTCTTCAAATTGTACATTTGCTGTTTCCTTTCGTCCCACCTGCTCATTCTGTTTGTAGAACGACGTATGAGTGATTACTAATAACCATGTGACAGAGTCAATATTAGGCTGTCCTGAAATTTCTGCCAAGGAAAGTATTTCATTACTTTTTAATTTAACCCCAGGCTAATTCCTGGGACAAGTACAGAGTAGGCACATTCTTCACTCTCTAGCCAAGTTGCTGTATGTCCTTACTCCCCTCTGATGCCTCTTGAGCTTGGTCTCCCCAGTCCACAAAGTTCTTATCACTGTTTTCCAGGATCTTCATGTTGAGTTTCAGACTAGTGGCTGAGGTGCCTATTGAGTATATCAGAGCAGACCTGGCCTCCAGGTTCTTCCAGCATCCCTCAGTCTTTACCTGTTGCAAGGCATGGCTAGCACACACTGCCCTCTGCTCTGAACTTTCCAGCCCAATCCCAGGTTCCTTCCCCCATAAGTTCTTCCCTAGATAATCCAGACATTTTGGTCTACTCTCTCTCTCTCTCTCTCTCTCTCTCTCTCTCTCTCTCTCTCTCTGTGTGTGTGTGTGTGTGTGTGTGTGTGTGTGTGTGTGTGTGTGTGTGCAGTCTTTCTTTCTCCCCTCTTCTCTGTCTCCTGGTCTGCCTGGAGACTTCTCTGGTCCTATTCCTTAGGACCAGTGAACCCTCCAAAGAGCTACCCCCTAAACCTCCCTTTATACTTTAATTTGCCTTGAACTGGCTCAATTTGAAGGCTGGAAAATACCTAGCCCTAAATAGGGTTCCCATTAATCTCTGCTTACAGCATCCAACTGCTTTTCCAGTCTAAACTATCCAATTCTTTCACATTCATCCAGAAGACTACAAGGTCATGTCTGCCACAGCGACCGTGTACCAACTTCTGCCTTAGTTACTTTTCTATTTCTGTGGTAAAAATATTATGATCAAGTTAGCTTATAAAAGAGTTTAATTGAATTTACAGTTAAAGGGGTTAGAGAGCATGATGCTGGAGCAAAAATATGGTGGCATGAACAGTTGAGAGTTCACATATTGATCTACAAGCAGGAGGCCAAGAGAGCGAACTCAAAATAGTGTGAGTCTTTTGAAGCTTCAGAGCTCACTCTGAAGAGTGACAACCCTCCTCCAGCAAGGCCACACCTCTTAATCAGCTTCAAACAGACGGTAAAAGGAGATTAAGTATTCAAACATTTGAGCCTATTTGGACCATTCTCGTTCCAATCACTATAGACAGTCAAACCAGTACATAGAGAAGGGTCAAAGACTTTATGAATTGCAATCCATTTACCTTCTATCAAGGTCCTTTCCTTCCCTTGAGGTGACTATGACAAAGCATCTCATGCCTTCACACCATTCATTCTTCTCACTCTACTTGGTATGGATCTACCTTCATCCACACACAGACAAGTTACTTTGTACGCTAGCAAACTTCTACTCACCCTTAACAGGCTGAAGAGTAGTTCACAGTCTTATTTGAGCTTTGAGAATTAATGCTCTCTGCCTAACTGCTGTGGGCTCTAGAGTGATTATACTTCACTTCTCCAATAACGCCCGAGAGCCAGATAGTCCAGATTCTTTGGTGCAGAGTGCATTTAAGACATTCTTCTTGAATGAATTGCTTACTTCCTTGACTCATTCATAACAAATTCACAAGTATTTCCAGGCATAAACATTAAAAAATAGAGTTTTCAATGAATAGGATCATGACAGTTAAAAATCTGGTATTTAAATAATTAGGAGGATTACAAGCCACGGTTTTTAATTCCTGCAGCTTTATATAAGGCCACTTCTGTAATTAAACTCAGGCAACATTGAATGGATCAGAGAGTTCATAACAAGTTACTAATATAACTTATCTCTGAACCAAGCAAATATAAAGTGTCTTCCTTGATTCATTTACTGTAAAACATACACAGAATAACAAAGCACACTTAGTATCTGTCTGTATAATATTAAATGAAATTATGTTCAAAGGAAACAAATTCATCTACCAGTTACCTTTGGATGTATAATTAAGAACACGATATAAATTGTCATCACCACTGTGCATGCAAGATTCATTTCCAGATAGTGCAATGTGTGTTCTGAAAACACATTACCTTTACATGTCTTGCATATGTCAATATTAAAACCTACAAAGCTCTTAGAGTTCCTTTAAGATGTTAATTATTTTTAAATAATATTTTAAACTTTCTGCTAGTTAAAGCAAAAATCTCTTCATATACAACCTAAATTTAGAGTATATAAAATTTTCACTGTTTTTGTTTTTCTATGTATTGTGGACACCTCTCTGCATATTTTTCCTAAATTATACACCTAAAATGTAGGTATAATTTTCTTTTGTGACTCAAATAACAAGCCAAGGACTGCTATTTTATGAGTAGTTACTTTTTAATCAGTTCTGTGGACCTCTTTTCTAATGAGAAGTGATCTTGCAATAAGAAAATGAGGAAAACAGGACAAAAAGAACACTGAAAACTCACCAAACTGCCATTTTCTGAAACTTCCCCTATAATTCTTATTTGCTCAGAATAATATCCCTTATGACTTCTCTTCTTGGGGATTTATAAGTGGTAAATGTCAAAACTATGAATACTCTTGTGCTTGTTTTCACACAGCTGTTTAGTTTTTGCTTCCAACAAACCAAAACCTGTAGGAAGTTATGCATCTCCATTAGGCCAAATCTCCTGTTATCTTGCAAGCTGAAGCTCACATGGAGATGAAGTGAGATTTCTCCTTAACCAGAACTGTGCAAAGACCCTGTTTTAATTTTTTTTTCTTCTAGAAAAGAAATGTTCTAAAAATTTCACAGAGGGGAAAAGAAACAAGGGGTGGGGCAGAGAAACAGAGACAGAGAGACAGACCATGAGAGAGACAGAGCCAGAACACAAGATTCTAATTTCTTTTTTTGAATTAATTGTTAAGGTTCTTTGCTTAGTAAAAACAAAAGTGGCAAAACTTACTCCTACATAAGCTGAAAACAATATTTTTACCAAAGTGGGAAATATACGAAAATCTTTTGCTATCACATGGGATAGTTCAGACCAATGCAATGATCTGAGAATTGAATTCCAAAGGGATTTTAGTTGGGGAAATGCTTGCTTTACCAAGTTACATAGGCACTAAAGGTCTTCTCAAAGCATTTAACGTACATAAATGTCTATTTTAAATCACTTCACCTATTATAACAGGGAGAAGTTTCCAGACAAAGTCAATAATAAAAGTCTCCCTCTGGAAAGGGAGGGAAACAAGCCTTGGTCACTGGCCAGCATACCTGTATAAACACAACTAGGTCTTGATAAACACATCTCCACATGGCTTTGTGGTGAGACTTCACCCTAGGAATTCACGTTTCTCCTTCCCATCTGGTGTTTTCTGACGTGACACCTTCAGAGAGAAAGAAGTACCAACCTGAAGGCTTCGAGGTACTCAACATCTCCCATAGGGGGGTCAAGGCCACCTGTCCAGGCAATGTTGATGTTGTAGCCTTCTCCCAGACCTATTCCAACCTGGGGAGAGAGAAACACACCACTGTGGATGGGGAAGGGAGGAAAGGGAAGAAACAAAAGGAAGGGCAAACAGCACTTGAAGTAAAGGGAGCTCTTGAAATAAACATCAAACAGGGCGTCAAATCAGCCCAACTCTGCCTGACAACCAGCGCTCTGGGTTATGCACTTGTTCTGCGCTGGTTCTTGGTCCTGTGGGACAAACGGGTAATCTGGTGTAATTTAAAACACCAGCAAAGGACAAGAAAATTAGGGGTAATCACGCAATGCAATTACCTGCGAGATACAAGTAAAAGCAGGGCTCTAAAGAAATAAACCGAACCTCATTCGGGGCTCCACTGCCAGGGAAAAAGTTCCCTTCATCATAGCGATGGAGTGAAATGTACAGGATGCTGGGGTCAGCATAAAAGGCCTGCTGTGTACCGTTTCCATGGTGAACATCCTACAGGGAAAAGAAAACAGATGACAAAACCCGTCATGTCTGACTCTGGAGACAGCTCTTCTGATTTCTGGTTCCCTCTCTCTCTACCCCACCCTCCTTCTCATTTTCTGTCTTCTCACCCCGTCTTTCTCTTTCTCCCTTTCAGGCTTCTTCTACACCACCCCCTTTACTTCCTGAACTTTCAGGCAAATTACCCTTTAATGCTCTCATTTTTTTTTAAACTGGCTTCTAAAAATCAGGAAACCACAGCGAGCAGGCCCTGGGGATCCCAGATGAGCAGTCACTGAGAAAGCCCAGTCCTTCACCACAATTAGATATTTATACACCGGTGCTTTGTACTCTTTGCTTCAGTGATGGAATCTTGCATCCTGTTTTATGGAGGAATTTTATGACTTATTAACTGCCAACAGTTCATAACCCCTCAGGCTTAATTAACTAGCCTCATTGGCCTCTGGGAGAAAAAAAAAAAAAGACTAATGTTTCAACTACAAACTAGTCTTTTTTCAGGAGGATCTATGGCTTACGGAGAATTTTCACAATTCTTGACAGAACACTAAACCATACGTCTATGCCTTGATTTGCCAAGTCCCACCATTAAGGTCAAAAGCTTTGCAACCAGCTGAGTAAATTGGCTTTCTTGCAGTATTCAGTTCAGTTAGCAATCCCTCAGCAGTTAGAGTCACTTCAAAAAAGATGCCAGATGGGAAAAGGACTTCATACTACATTTTGCTAAAATTACGACAGCAAGAGGTGAAGAAACAAGGGCTTGAGCTCATTAGCTGTTAAATCATTTGGGCCAGAACAGGAAGATGGTACTTGGATTTCTGCAATCCAGTCCAATCTGCCTCACTGATACTGATGGTATGATGGCTCTCATCCCAGCTTTCTCCCTCATCTTTCTGTCTTCTGCACACCTCTCCAACTTCCTACTAAAAAAACACCCTATTATCAATAAATGGATCAATAATTTATTGGATATTTGCAGATGATAATAATTTAAAACTCGATATCTAGTTTTAATACAGATACATGTCAGAATTGACATTAACTATTGGAAACAAAAGGAGTAACATTTTATAAATATTTTCATAAAAAATGAGGTATGAAGGACTTCAGTTAATACACTTAAGATCTTCTGAAGAAAAAGAAACAGACTGCTAGTGAACACTGATCTACATATTTTATGCAAAGAAATTGTTACATTATTCACTTATAATAGCTTTGGCACATTTTAACTATTTAAATACATTGGACTTTATTATATATCATTAAGATTTACACTGTTTTTAATAATGACTCCTACCATTGTTAGTGAGCACATTATTAAACACCTTGAATTAATTACTTAAAATTATATAGGACATACGATGTTTTCTCTATTCTAAAAAATAAGACAACTGATGCTTAAGAGTTTCCATAATTTACTATGAATCTAGAGATAGTACATTGTGACTTGGTTCTTGAATCCATTTATTACTGCAAATACTAAGTTATGTTCTTATTTTTCTGATCTTATTAGCAAGCTCTTGAGGTGATTTCTTTTGGAAACTGACTATCCTCTTTGACACTGATAAAACCTATTTCTTCTCCATTCTCCAGACCCTAATTCCATTACACACTTCCAAAGTCTTCTTTCAGTGATGCTGAGACCCTTTACTGAGCTTCCTGTCCCTGGTCTATAAAAGTACAATTCTGTCCTTGCTTTGCAAAGCACACATATCTCAAAGTAATCAGAGAATCATACTGCTCAGGCAGATAGGAATCATCTTACAAACTTTTATCTAGCCAAAGACAAATGCATCAGAAAAAAATATATAACTTACTGAAAATATATTAATTCCTGGATTTCTGAATATTCAAAAGAAAGGAAGAGATAGTGAAATTATTTTTTCTTAATGTGAACAAAAATGAAACAGTTTAAGCCACAATGTAGTTTATGCTAGCTACCAGCTATCTAGAACATGTTTTAAAAAAACAAAGCAAATCAAAGCAACTCCAAATGAAACAATGGTAGAGCAGCACTCTGCTTCCCTTCCAGTAGCATAGCCAGGTCTGTAGAACAAATACTGTTCTGGGTAAAAATGAGCCCAGAGACAGAAAAGCAGAAAACAACAACAGCAAACACTGTTATGGCTACTCTTATTTCTCCAGTGACGTTGGAGAAGTTTAGTTAGGAACAATGGGGAATAAAAAAGATACTTTTTCCCTGATGTAAAATCATCTGCTCTTAAAAAAAAAATGCACGGGTGTGTGACAGTAAACACGAAAGAAAAAAAAAATCCAGCAGACGTTATTTATAAAAGTACAGGAATCCATCCTAATCCTTGAGCAATGCTAGGTTCTGCATTTAGTTGCCAAATACTTCCAGATAATATGAATCCACGTGGTCCGGTTGGTAACTACAGTTTGGGGCTGTGAGTACTGTCTGCTATTTATTCCGCTTTCTTTTTTACTTATTTAAACTACTGTCTGCTCAGGAAATATCTGAGCTTCCTTCTCCATGGCAACAAATATATATAAGACTAAGATAAGAAACTTATTTGTGCCTATGAAAAATTACCTTAAAATGAAATGAATCATTATAGCCTTGAAACAGGTCTTGCATCTAAGATATACTTAGAACTGTGGGAAAATGTGTATCAGTACTTTACAGCTTAAAACATATACTATAAAAACAGATTCATTATCATAATTTAGAATAATTTATTTTTATTGTTATCTAAAATTGCTTCAAATATATCATGTTTTTCTATTAATATCTTCCTTCATAATTATTATATGGAGACCAAAGTCTAATTTTATGGTCAGCAATGGCATTTCTTAAAATATAAGGACATTTGAAGTAACCTTGTCTTTATAAAGAAAAAAAAAACAAAAAACAAAAAACAAAAACAAAATCAAAAGAGAACAGAACTTAAAGAAAATTGTATTCTTCTTAAATTACCATCTTGGTCCCATTACCCAAACTTCTATCACTCAGGCAGAAGAGCCTATTTCACGAACATGCTAGCATCCTGCATACAATGCTGTGCTCTTGAAAGCGGGGAAGCAAATAGGCCCATTTCTTCTCCAAACTGATGTGCATATCAGAGAAAGGGAGTGAAGAGACTTCATACAAGACAGGAATCACACCTGCCTAACATGCAAAACACATCTGAATTAGTTCCTATCCAGATGGAAGCTGAGCTGCACTGCTGGCTTTGTATTTACTTGGACGTAAAAATGTTCAAAGCAGCGGTGGGATGATGGGGTGAAACTGCTCTTTAAAGGCCCTGGACCCTATGTGGCTAGGACATCTGAAGGCATGAAGGTGTTTCCCCACCAAGACCTTTCATCTTTTCCCTTAACTTGCAGAGCAGAGCTATTGGCCAGGGACAACGGGTGTCTCAGCATCTTGTGGCACTTTAAAACTTCCTTCTCAGCATCTGGAAGACACAGGAATTTCCTCAAAGTACCCTGCAGCTGCAGAGTTTGGAAAGTAAGAATGTGTGGGCTGGTGGTGACCTCAGAGGCCACCCTTTGGTCAGGACTTCATACATTGAGAGGATCTGAAACAAAAACTTCTCATTTGTTGGAGTCTGTTGGGAAATGGGCATCCTTATGGTTTGGAGAATGGAGTAAAATCACACTCGAAGGCCAGCAACTTACAGAAAACTGACTCCTTAGAGCTACCAAGTCAATCATCTTACAGTTTATGTCAGAGCATCTCTACAGTCAGACCCAATGACTATACAACTCAATGAACATCTACACATTTAGAGTAGCCTATGATTCTTAAGAAGGAAATGAACAACTACCTAATCACTGGGCCCATCTTAGATCTTCATTTGCCATCTTTCCTTTAAAAATTTGTTACTTATAAAACTATAGTAATACTGAGTTTTTAAAATGTAATATATTAAAATTCATGCAAAACTATTAATTGCCTAAAATTCACTTTTGACTCTCTATGAGAAAATAGGAACAGACGTTTTCATTCAGGCAAAGTTGCAAGAACTCTTCATGGTTATATTGCTAGCCTTCAACACAGCCTATTTAATGGTGAACTATGGCCTACTTTGAAACTTAAGCATGTTTGGAAAACACACAGAAAATTAGAATGCAGTATTTTTCACATGAAAGTGGCTGCAGAAAAGCTACAATATGAAAAGTATTTATTCTAACCAAGCCATAAAAGTGGTTGTCAATCTTCCATTTTTTTAAATTCTTCATTTCATGTAAATATTTCCTGATATGATTTTGTTAGTAGTCTTTCCACCCTTTGGGGGTGCCAACATAACTAAATCTAAGGGCTGGAGGTTGATGCCATGACTTCCAATAAGATCTAATTATGAGAGTGCAGATATGAACAAGATTTAAACTAGTAAGCCTTGCACTTCAAAAAAAAAAAACCCTTTAGCATATTTTGCCTTTAAATCTTTTATCACCTGCAAAAATTAATTAAGTGCAGATGCAGCAGGTTTGGCTTGGATGCCAGGGTTCATTTCCTGTCTATACTTTGTCAGACAACCTATTACACCTCCCGGTGAAGTGCAGGCAAACCGAAAAGGGGGCTCATAAATCACCATTGGCTTTCCCTTGCCCTTTTCTGGGTTGGTCCTTTCTGGATGGGGCAGATCTCCAGCTCATTATTCATGAATACATTTCAGACAACCTGCCAAGTGTCATCTGCATTTAAACAAGCCATTTGTTAAACAAATTATAACTATTGTGTAAGAATGCTTCACGGTAAAGTGCAAGAGGAGTCCAGTGCCTCTGACTTTTAATCCTTCAGGATTCCTGCAGGGGGTCATCCCAGACTGGCACCTGAGGCCTGAGATCTTTTCACAAAGAATGACATGTTGACTTGTTTTAATAATACCACTGTTGCACAACAAGAGACATGATTGCTAACCAGGGGGAAGTAGCCAATTGGTAACCAAAGCAACAGCATTCTTTCCGGCACATCTGACTATTTAAAGTCTATATTCTGTAGGGAAAAGTAAACTAAGGTTCTGTTGGGCTATTTTAACTGTGGAAGTATCAATTCATTTAAGGATCATAAAAGGTGCCCCGATCTGCGCCTTCTTCTCATTAAATTGCAGTTAACACCATGAAAGTGAAATGTGAATGTTTATGGTTTCAGAACTGCAATCCCAAGTTTAATGAGTTTCCACATTCAAAGGAAACACACCCTTCAGTTGTTTGCAAGTGCTAAAAGCAAGACAACCTTACAGAGAAACATACAGCCACTCCCTTTTATCTAGAGTCACTGAAAATGCAGCCCTGGCCAGGCATACATACCAGATCTACAATCAATATCTTGCTTATATTTAGTTGGTCTCTCAAGTATTTGGCGGTAATTGCAACTGAATTAAAAAAGCAGAACCCCCTGTGGAATAGAGAAGAACAGAGAAATAAGAAGGCAAATCATCCAGGAAAACCATTATAAATAATGTTCAGAGCATTTTTTTTAATGCTATATGATCTCTGAAGCTATAAATCTGCTTCTGGGAGTACCTCGCAAGAGTTTTCAGTCCATCTGCTAACAATTAGAGGCTTCAGAAACATGCAAAGGGCAGGTGACTGCCAGGAACCATGGCACTTGAAGATGGCAGTGGGCCCTGGTACTTACATGGCTGCAGATTCTTCAGCATGATGGCCTGGGGGCCTCACAACAGCAAAGCCATTCTGTAAGCACAAGACAGGTTTTCAACAAGGCAGGACAACACTTGGATATCTACAGCTTGTAAGGATGGCCTCACAGACACACAAAAAAGTCTGATGTCTTCTGGACACACCCAAGCTTGTCTCCTAGCCCTTATCACTATGTCACAGAATCAACTGAGACAACATATAGGCTCACAGACACTCAGATCCTGTCTCGAATAGGCCCATAGCCAGGCAGAAAAAGATCAGAGAGCTGGGAGTTGCACATAGCTGGCAGATAATCATCTCTGCTCTTAGACTCATACAATTCATTCGCAATAACAACCTTATTCTCAAACATCAACATTCTACAGGGAGAGAAGAAATTCACTCTCAGTGCAGGTTTGGGTCAAAGTTCAGAAAGACAAGGGAAGATCCAAAGTGAAAATTCCTAACCTGGGTCCTCCCAATGGTTATTTCCACTCTGGTGTCAGTGAAATGATAAATTTACACTCGCACACGCACATAGACACAAAAGAAACCCCAGAAAGGTGAAAAAGAGAACAATGGAAAGCCCATATTTCTTCCAGTCTATAAATTTAGCTTGGACGTCGGCCAAGGCTTGCAAGTTTATTGGATTCCCTAAGTCAATTTCTAGCCCAAGTTCTGGAATTTTATAAAGAATTCCAGAGCTGCAGCAGCAGTCAGATATATCCACGATCAAGACATGCCTTAACCTCCAGGTTAGTGGGCATGCATCACAGAGAGCTGACGAGACTCCAGCATGAGGGAAGGGAGCTATAAATTCCCAGAAAGCTGAGCACTCGGGAGTCATGGGTTGTCTGATGTGAAAAAATAATCGTTTATCACACGGTTCACACCACTTTTCACTTAAGTATGATTTGAGGAGCATGCTCCAAAAAGAATGCTTCCTTAATACACAATTCATAAACTTCTGAAATGATTTTAATATACCTCAAGAATTTTTCCTTCTAAATATTTATCTGAAATCATAAAGGTATCAAAAAGTCATCCTGCCTCAATCTTCACGCACATAGTCACTCTCTGTTATAATAATTTACAGCCGAGAGGTAAATTTACTATATATTGTGGAGAGTGAATATAATGATTTTAGCGAGAAATTAGAGGTTGCTATAATTTAAGTATATCTTTCTGTGCATTGAAAATGTTGTCCTCAGTATAACTCTGTTATGAATTGGGCCTAACATAGCATTTTGCCATGTGCCGACTCATGCTGGAATTGAGCAGTGGGTTAGAGATGGACAGAGAAGCTTACTGATATAACAGATAAGTTAAACTGATTTTCTCTCTCTTGCCTTTTCCTCATGTTGTGACTCAATATTACGACTTGACCACATGCTGGCATTGTCACCAGAAGTCAGTCAAATAAACTTTGTTATTTTTATGTTAGTCTGTAATATTTTATTATAGCAGCAGAAAATGAACTAAGAAGATAAATAATGTCACACTAATTAAGCTCTAGGGGTAATGATAAACACATCTTGTGCCCTTTTTTAAAAAAAAATTGTTTATACTTTCTCTAACATTTATTATAGAAAAGAGAGCTGTTGATGGATAATAAAAATAATAAACACTGACATTTAAAGATTATAAGTCACTAATGACCTTAGAATGGAGAATTCTTAAAAGACCACGATAAACTCAATTAAGTCACCAGATGAAAGAAAAGTGAATATAAGGTGTAGAAAACACAACCCACATGCAAAGACCTTTCAGTGAACACTGCCAAAATTATCTTCTTTTCTCTTAAAGCCAACTTCTGAATAAGACCTGATTTTTGCTTCATATTTTTCTGTAGTAACTACCAACATTCTGCTTCGATTTCAATTAAAAAAAAATGACTAAAGGGCATGTTTACATATTATAAAGAAAAAACAATCAATAATCAATATGTATTGAACATTATTACTAATCAAATAAAAAGAGATAGAACTCCTAATGAAGACCCATATTTTGACATTTCTGCTGTATGTTCTAATGGAGTTTCGTATTCATATGATGCTTGTAGAAGAAAAACATTATTTTCTGTAAAATAACCTTCCTGTATCTGTCTAGAACTTTTAGAAAGTTAATAAATTACTCAAGGGTGTTTTCCTTAACACACTTTTGTTAATTGTGTGTACAAGCTTCTATGTAAAAGGTCATAGGTAATTTACAATTATAGAAACTGCTAATTATCTAAATAGTCAGCTAATATTATGAAAATGGTGAATATTTTATGGCCCACTTAAACACATAAATATTAGCCTACCTACTCAATAGATTCACTTGGATATCTCAAGGGCACTTTCGGTCACTTATTCAGAAAACAATCTACAAATCTTCAACTATCCTTAGCATGGCAATGACACCATGGTCCCTCCAGCAGTTGAAGTCAGAGGCCAGGGAATTCTTTCTCCTGGTTCCCCATCCTTCCTCCATTTCATTTTAGTTCATAAACAACTCTTGATGATTTTATTTTGAAAAATTCCTTAAAATTGCTTGTGTTCTTTTTTCAATTAATTAACATTCCAGTAGAAAGTTCCCCTCCCTCCACTCTTCCCAGTCCCTCCCTTCCCCTTGCCTCCTCCTATGCTCCCTTCCTTTCTTCACTGAAAATAGGAGATCTCCCGTGGGTATTATCATGTCTACGCCTTCAGTGTGTTGCTTTGCTGTATCACCTTTCAGGACCTTGCACACGGGCACACGCGTTTTGCCAGAAGCCACACAATCTGTCCTTCCTCAAGGAATAACCCATTCAGTATTCCTAATTCTACACTCTCTGATGCATGCCATTAATAAATTTCCATGACGTTGACATTCATCCTTTTACACTGTTATTAAGGAAAGCATCAACTTCAACATTTTTATGAAAAGCTCCTAATCTCCCATGACCTCATCTGCCCAGACAAAACTTGAGCCAACCTCCTACTTCTAATTCATTGACCTTATTTAATTTCACAGCTCGGCATTCATCCACTACTATGTTCAGTTTCCTCTTATCTTGCTTGACTTTCAGGACATTGCTACATTCACTCATTTCTGTACACTGTCACCCTGCCCTTTCTTCCTGCCAACACCCCTTCCCCATACAGCCACTCATGCTGTTAGAACAAAATATCAAAATTTCTCAAAGTTCTGGAGCCTCCCTGACTGAGCTCTGCCAGAACATTTTATTTTTTTATTTTTATTTTTTGATCAGGTAACTCATTGCTTAAAAACTTTGTACCACGTTCTCTATACAGCCTTTCCTCAGTTCTAATCTTCGATAAGTATGGTGTCCTTTTCATTCATTAAAGGGCACCAGCCCTGTTCGGTTAAGACCCTGAGAACCTCATATAATCTTTATTACTGACTTATGTCCAGAGACTGGGAGCTAAATTTTTAACACACAGTCTCTGAAGAGGCACATACATTTAGTCTTTTACACATTTTCAATCATGTTGTCCCTTTTTCCTTCTTATGTACTCAGGCAAAATTACAGGTCTGATAAGATACAGCTCACACCTGCTCTATCCCGGCATCTATCTAAGCACACATAAGAGCCAGATGTCTGGTTGTCCTTTAAAGTTATAATCTTAAACTCCAAGCACATTCTTCAGGATGGCTGGAAACCACACCACATTCCTTTATCAATGAACCAACTGTCCATGGCTTTAACATGAGTCATTCTAGTTTTTTTTTTTCTTTTTCTCCAATTTTTCAATAACCCCTTGCTAACTTTTTAACTTCTGCTGAAATAGTCTTCTTACTTTACTCAGAAAAAAAAGTGACTAGAATAAAATGTCCACATATTCCAAGTGAAACTTCTCCTCCTAGCAGAAGGAGACAGGCTCTGCTGGCCTGTCTGTCTCCTCTGCTCCCACACCTAAGCAGGCACAGCTGACTGTAGCCCTCCTTCCTCTCTATCAATTTTCTCTACTAGCATATTTAAATCAGAGCAGTTGTTTAACTCTCTCCTCTTAGAGCAAAGAGACAGAAACTTAATGGCCTTTGTAATGCTATCAGGAGGTGAGACTTTAAAGTGGGAATTTAAAGAGGGCTTCTCCCTTTTAAGGGCGACTAAAGTCCTGTTTAAAGGGTATTCGGCAGCCTTTGGCTTATTTGCTCTTCCTTCCAGAATCTTGGAAGCAGAAGGCAGCTCATCGTAAGCATCACAACAAGCCTCAACTCGATGTGGTCTTCTAGGACTTCGGAGCTGAGAGAAGGACAGTCTACTCTTTTTGAGCTACTCAACTGGTGGAATGGGGATATTGTTTTAGCAGAAATAGAGAAAGACATTCTTACAGTTCTGCCAGGCGTTCTTTCCGAGTCATCTGCATTTGTCCTGATACACCTCTTAGGGTGATGGCGGGAGTTACTTGCTCTGATTGCTTTTGATTATTGTGATTCATCCGCATCATGCCCATACTCAGAAAGCATCTACTTTTTGCTGTCACGTTGTTCTCTAGTCTGATACGACAGTTGATACATAGCGACAGGCCAGTTAATCAATGAGCTGAGTTTAGTGGCACAACAGGTGCCTGGAAGGTAAATGGTCATGGTTTGGATCTATCACTGAAAATGAGTAACAGAATAAAAATACATTTAGGGTAGACACCAGTGTAATGACAATTTTGGAATTTTGGTTTCTTTAAAAACCTCCCAAAAATATTATAAAAATGTGCTTTCATTTTAATCCCAGGTGTGGGATATGGGGTTGCTTCAGATTGTCTGGTGCTAGAGCAGAGACATGGTTTTGTCAGCTGCAGATAGTTTCTGTGGCTGTGTGACATTTGGAATTCGCAGAACTTTGCAGATGGTATATAAATGCTGGGGCATGGGGAGACGGGGTGTCTGGTTGTTGGTTGTTCACGGGATCGGTTGCAGTTTGTTAGTAGTTGTGCTCAAAGAAGAAACAAGAAGAAATAAATTAATAAATTAGATTCAAGAATGTCTCTCTCTCCCTTCCCCCTCTTATTATTCTTTCTCTCTTATCTAATGATATGGGGGTGAAATCAGTGGCGATAAAGGGTAGGAAA